GTGCCCTCCCCAAGAAGTGGCAGAGATGGAGGGCAGGTCAGCACCCCCGGGAACTGCCAAAAGGAAAAGGCATTGGCATGTGCAAGGAAGCAGATAGCACATTTGGAGACAGTGGCTCTGATTACATGTTAGATACTTTCTCCCTCACCTCCCTGCATTTAGGACTCCTAGGGAGACACAGAAGAGGGAGGGCTGAGCTCCTTCTCTTGCTGGCTGTCATATGTAGGGACATCTCTAGGGACAAGCTTCATTTTGCCTAGGGGACTTTTCAAGCCACATTACCCCCAAGATTCTGACATGCCTCCTTGGGAGGACATGCTCCCCATCCTCGAGGCTGAAAATCACTGAAGCTGTGAGCCATTGTTTCTGTTGTGAATATGTCATATCTTTTAGGTTTGTTGAGGAGTAAAACAGATTGAGAACCACTCGGTTAGTGGTTAGTAACCTAGGACCAACATATGAGTGGGGTTTAGGGCACTTCTGGATTCCACATTCATTTATTCAGGAAACATGTATTGTGTACCTACTGTGGTTTGGGCACTATTATAGGTGCTGTGGGCATATAAAAGTGAAGATATGAATAGTTGCTTAATGGGTAGAGAGTTTCAGACATGCAAAATGAAAAAGTTATGAAGATCAGCTCCACAACAATGTGAATATACTTAACACTACTGAACTTAAACATGGTTAAGACGGTTTTTATGTTATGAATTTTTCATCACAATAAAAAGTGAATATCGGGCTTCCCTGGTGGCGCAGTGGTTGGGAGTCCGCCTGCCAGTGCGGGGGACATGGGTTCGAGCCCTGGTCCGGGAAGATCCCACATGCCACGGAGCAGTTGAGCCCGTGCGCCACAACTGCTGAGCCTGCGGGCCACAGCTGCTGATCCTGTGTGCCACAACTGGTGAAGCCCACGTGCCTAGAGCCCGTGCACCGCAACGAAGAGTGGCCCCCGCTCGCGGCAACTAGAGAAAGCCCGCGCACAGCAACAAGGACCCAACGCAGCCAAAAATAAATAAATAATTTTTTTAAAAAAGTGAATATCACAATAAAATGCTGCCTGCCCTCAGGTTTTTCATTTAAGCTGGAGAAAATCATTTGTATAGGATCAATAGGAATACATGTTGTAGCAAATACCAATCAAGTTAAGTCCCAGCCAAAGTGAGAGAGTGGCATGGACATATACACACTACCAAATGTAAAACCGATAGCTAGTGGGAAGCAGCCGCATAGCACAGGGAGATCAGCTCGGTGCTTTGTGACCACCTAGAGGGATGGGATAGGGAGGGTGGGAGGGAGGGAGACACAAGAGGGAGGGGATATGGGGATACATGTATACATATAGCTGATTCACTTTGTTATACAGCAGAAACTAACACACCATTGTAAAGCAATTATACTCCAATAAGGATGTTAATAAATAAATAAATGAAGAGCAGTAATTATAAAAAACAAAATAAAACTTACGTCCCAGCTCACAACTGCCCTTCTTTGAGAACAGCCCCAACCACAGAGGTGGACCTGAAGTAATGATGTGTAGTGTCCTTGGAACTTGACCCTGACCTCTGGCCACCTCCTAGAGGTAGACAACTGATCTAAACTGTACCGATTTTTCAAACTTGAATGGAGAGACTGAAGCTGGCTGAAGCTGTTACCTTCATGGCAGTGTCCATATACTCCCATTGCTGAGGCCTCCAGAACTGCCCAGCTTCTTGCCCTTTCCAAGGCCTGGTTGGTTAGCTCCATGTCTGATTCTGAGAGCTACGGCAGAATCCTTCCAATACATCCCTCCATTTACCGAAGCTAGCCACAATCATTCTCTGTTGCTTTCTACAAATAACTTCAATTATAACCCAAACCAGTGGTGCCCCTTCTGGGAAATAAAAGTTGTCAATTGAGGATTTGCTGGTGATAGGGGAGGGGAGGTCTTCAGTCAGAAAATAGCATGGGTGGTTGATTTATAGGTTAAAATAGCAAACTCTTGTTGCATAAGCAAACACTTTACCCTGAAGGAGCTGTGTATTGCTTGTTACAGGCACAGGGTTATTTTCCTACTGGAGGTATGGGGATGGGAGGAGGACAGAGTTGTGTAAGTAGCCTAAACTATTCCGAGTTCCTCCCCCATTCTCCTGGTCGTTATTCAGTTGCCAAATGTCGCTGGTCTGAGAAGACTGGAAGGAGGAAGCTGGAGGAGGCTGTGGCCTGAAGCTGAGGCTGCTGTTGCTGGGCTGGGACTGCCAGTCAGGAAAAAGATGTGTATAAAAGAAGAGAGAAGGGAGCAGCCCCAGAAGCTGTCTTTTGGACACTGATCCAGCTGGTTCGAGGTTCCTCCACAATTCCTAGCAAAAGGTTGCCCGGCATTAGGACCTGAGATCACTGCAACGTGCGGGGAGACTGAGGAAGAGGGTACCGAGAGAGGTGCCTTAATGCCTGCCCTGCACGGGGCTGCGTCCCTGCAGATGGGAAGTCCCTCTTCACCCAACAGCCCATTTCTACTCAGCGCCAGGCGCAGAGCCACACTTAGCAGAGTTCAGTGAACTGTGGGATACAAGGGTGGAGAGACGGAGAGACCACGTCAGGTGCAAGAGGCAGGACCAACAGCCTCGCAGGCCACCGGAAAAAATCGGGGCTTGGGACCCAGGAGGGGCCTCGCGTGATTCCTCAATAACCTCGCGGATTTCTAGGCGGGAAGTCAAAGGGCGGGCCCTGGGATGCTCTTGGATTTCGAAACTGGAAAGTAGGGAGGGGATTTGGCGGATTTAACGGTTCAGAACCGAGGTCATCAAGGAAGCGGATCTTTGACGTAGGTTCCAGGATCAGGTAGGCGAGGTGAATCGTATCCCCGGCCTGCGGCGCTGAAGTCACTGCCCGGGAAACGGGAAGGAGGCGGAGCCAGCCGAATTTTGACTGACAGGAGCCGAGCAGGGGCGGGACTCTGCTTCTGACTGGCTATGTCCCCCACGAGGGGCGTGGCTCACCTATGACTAACAGGCCCAGGGGCGGGGCTGGCTTGAGACTGACAAGCTTGACGGGGAGGAAATGGGACTTGGTTTTGGCTCTTTGGACACCAGCCAGGGCGGAACTAGGGTGGTCTGACTGGCATGAGTCCACAGGGCCCGAGCTAAAGCTGGCCCAAACCACCTGTCCTTAAGATGCCGGCCATTAGCCCCAGTGACCAAGGAAAAGAGCAGGATATGGCCACCTGGTCCCCTCCCTATGGCCAGGGTAAGCCAGGCCTCCAGGTCCAAGCCATTTTTTCCCTTAGAACGTAGGCCAGGAGAGAGGAAGAAGGCTGGGGAGGAAGGCCAAGGATGCAGACGCAGGTTCCCAGAGAGGGTTCCTGGAGTCTGAGCACTGGGAGGAAGAGAGGAGGCCCAAGAATGGGGCCGATTATTTAACTGTGAGAAAAGTGCTATCTCTACCCAAATGCTGACTTCCGAGGAGAATTCCAAGCATGTGGAGGCAGTCTGGAAAACATGCCTGGCTAGGATTTGCCCCTAGAGAACCTGTGAAGTTAGCTTAAACCAACCATTTTTTCTTTGAGAAGCTGGTATGGAACTAGGAATGAAAGATGGCAGGAAAGCCTTCCTTCTAACTGGCCCACTGGTGCCCTGGCCAGCCTTCTCTCTGACATGGTTTAGTATTATCTGCAGAGCACAGATAATTGTTATTAAATGTTCTTAATGATTTTGTTTTACAGAGATTCCAGCACCTCACTCCCCAAGTGGATTTCTTTTACCTAGATTTTCCAGTAAAAGTGCAAGGCCTCTTTTCAAGGGTAACTTCCTTAATGTCTTTAATAAGCCTGTGTCTTTGCTATGAATGGACATAACATGTCCGGCCTCACAGGGGTGGTTGTGGAGATCGAAGGAGACAATGAACTTAAAGCACTTGGCTTCAGTAAGCCTGCCTGGCACAACAGGGAAGGACTCAATGAGCAGTAGCTGGTGTCACCCCCACTGCCCATCAAGTAAGCTCCTACTTCCTAAGAGGATCGAGTGAGCGCAGGCCAGGGTAACAGGTCACTTGAGGCTGTTGTGGGACCATTCAGCTCTAAAGATTTCTCCTGACCACCTAGTGTGAGAGCTTTAGGCTGAAAAAAAGGGAGATGAGGGGTATTTCCTGCAGGGAATAGGGAATGGATTTTGTTATAGATTCATTCACGTTTATTCTTTTGAATCTTCCTAAGCCGAGACTTGGGGTAAGAGAGGCAACTATTGGGGGAATTCCCCGGTGGTCCAGTGGTTAAGACTCTGCACTTTCACTGCTGAGGGCAGAGGGCGTGGGTTCAATCCCTGGTCAGGGAACTAAGATCCCGCAATCCGCAGGGCCAAAAAAAAAAAAAAAAGACAACTATACACTGTTTAATAGTAGCTCTCACCAGTTTTACATAGGCGTGAACAAGACTTTGGGCCTTATTTTTCCTGGAAAAAAAAAAGGCGGGGGTCATAAGCAGGGAGGGAGTAGAGGGCCCTGGGGTGGGGGGAAGGGGTGTTAACTAGCAAATGGTCCCGACCAGGCTTGTTCCAGTGTTGCATCAACGAGCGTGTGTAGGGGTGTAGAGGTGTGCTGGCGCCCTAACAACTTCTCTGATGGAGCCAGGCAGTCCTTAGCCCTCTAGCCTTCCTCTCCCAGAGGCCACGACCCCATGCCAAATGCCTGAAGGGAACCAAGAAGCCCAGAGCCTGAGTTGGTTTGTAGGTGTGTGATCAGCAAACCCGCATCCCCCGCCCCCGCCCCCGGCCAGAAAAGAAGGAAATGAAGCCAGCACTCCATCTGCTGAGGGAATAGAAGGTGGAGGCATCTACCCACATCCCTCCTACTTTAGTACTCAGGGTGCTGATGGAGGACTGATTTTTCTAATCTCAGAGCTCCCTCTGCTGGGGGCTGAGGCTCCCTACAGAAGGGGAGGGAAGAGACTAAGAACTGAACTTTGTAGGGAGAGAATGGAAGGCCGCAGGCTGCAAGCTCTTCCTGGACACTCAGGACATAGAATTGAATGACGATCAAGAAGTTTTCGGTTTATTGAGTAACAGTGGCACCACAGCTTTCATTACTGGTGGTGGTTGTTTGGGGGAGCAAGAAAGTGCTCTTAGAGGATCGCACTGGGGCCTTCACCCCACTTCAGCCAGAGGTCACAGGAGTTGGAGTCATGGTCCAGCTCTGCACTCCGTGAATTCACCAGCACATATTCCATCCCCAAGTCCACCTCCCCTTTGGACCAGCCATTGACTACCGGGCCCTTCCTCCTCTTGGAGGTGGGGGTGTGGGGGAGCAGGGCCAAAAAGCCTCAAGAGAAGGAACTAAGATCAGGATCCTGCTGAACGTCCAGCAAGATCAGTGGAACACAAAATCCCCTGTCTTGAGATCATACGCTCAGGGCCTAGTTGCCCTTGAGGTGTCCTAGTTACAGCCACTCAGACACCTGTGGAGTTTAAGCACCGTTCCTACGCTGTGTCCCTCCGTAAGAGGGTGCAGTGGGGGCTCTTAAACAGGAATGCTTGCTCTGCCTTCGTGGCTTTTTGGTTAGGGGAGGGGGTTGGGATTGTAACTTTAGACTTAAGGTTATAATGTCCTGCGGCCCAAGAACTCCTAGGATTGTGCCTAAAGATGCCCGTGCTACAGTGTGGGGGAGATGGGGAGATGACAAGAGCAGTACAGGACACTGACACTCCTTTGTTCTAGCAGAGAAGAGGAGAGGAAATGACCCATTCCAGGATGTGGGGAATGCGGTAAGCCCCCTGCCTCCCTTATCCTGCCATGTCGTCCTCTGCCAGCCCAGTTCCTGAGTCAGCTTCGGAAGCCAGGAAGCAGAAATCTGAAGAATTCAGCCCAGTTTAGCCTGCTAGTGTACCTCAGTCTCTGTCCTGAGATCCTGGGTCTCCTCCTGTGTCCAGAAGGGGCAAGGTTCCATGAGGAATGACTTGGCTGGTGGAACTGTTTAGGCGAGAAAGTCCTGTAGCCTGGCCGGCTGGCAGGTGACAGGAGGCCAAGAAGGGAAGCCAGACATGAGGACATCCCAGGACAACCTGTACACACACGTATCACATATGTACATATGTAGACACACTAGCGCAGAAGGGATCATGTGACCCTGCTCTTTGAAATCAGAGGAGAGAAAAGGCTACGGGGGCACCTCTCCCAGCCTAACAGATTGCTGGTCTCAAGAGCTGCTCCCACACCAGGCCCCCGCCCAGTACCAGGCAGATGGAAAAGTGGCAGCAGCCCAAGGATGTGAGAGAGGAGGCCAGGGGCTGACGCCCCCTCAAAGCCCCTTGTTGTAGTAAACCGCTTCGATACTGGGGTTTTGCTCATGGATCTGAGCTCTCAGCTCCGGCTCCAGCCTGCTCACGTGTATGGAGCTGCAACAGAACAGCACAGGCAGGCTGAATGTCCCCTGAGCCCACCCCCCTCAGCTGGGTGCCCCCGATCACCACCCCTCTTCCTCCCAGGTTGCTGAATCTTCTCCTTCGACTGCCAGAGGCCCAGATCATTGTCATTCCCCCACCCCCAGAATAAGCTGAATGCCTGCCAGGCCTCCTCCTGGAACACACTGAAGGAACCTAAATCAGCTGCTCCCAGAGATGTGGAGACCTGTCTGAAGCCCCCAGCCAAGCCTGGGGGCAACACTTACCTTCTCTGGGGGAACAGGGCACAGCACAGGGGGGTGGCAAATACCAGGCTGAGGGAGAAGAGTGTTGGAAAGGTTTGTGAAGCTCTGATCTAAGAGTGTTCCCTCCCGGCACCCCACCCCATCTCTGGAGACAGCCCCTAGGGGTGGAGACTGATGAAAGCCAACAATGACATTAGGTTCAGGCTGAAGAAAGAGCCTCCAAAGCAGTGACCCAGAGCGCCACAGCCAGTGACAGAATCAGGAATTAAATGTGCATGAAACTCTGGGCTGGTACCAAAAGGTATATTTCCATGGTTTCCGTGGTGGATGTAGAACCCCTTCGACTAGATTCTTGACCTTCAAGAACAGAGATCACTCCTAACACACACAGTATGCCCTACAGGTGTCCAAGACCCCTACCAGCTGAATGTATGAATGAATGATGTACTTAATGTATTAAATTATCTTAATTATCTTATCTTAAAAGCAATAAGACCCCCCCACATCCACCACAGAAAGGATACTCCCACACATTCTAGCTAACTCCCCACACACTTACCAGAAGCCCACCAGTCCCACCTGCAGGGGTGCCCCCAGCCAGGGGCGGCGCTGTGGGGAGAGAGAGAATGTAATGGTGTGTGTCCCCTGGCTCCCCTCACCCCTACACATTCACCCACGGCGGCTCTATCCCATCAGCGCTGCCTTTGAGCCTCTGATATGTGGCCCTTTTCTTTCCCCCAGTCCCATAACAGGGACTCACCACCCTCCACTCCAGCCAGGCCCATTTGCTGACACCATCCCTAGCGTCCCACCACCCATCTTCACCTCTCTGAATCGCTTCCCACACTTCTTTCAGGAGCTGCTTTCTTCAGGAAGCCTCCTCTAACCCTCCACTCCCTCCCTCCCATCCCACTGCGTGAATCTGTCCCTTTCCAAACACATCTCCTGCTCTGCACACCCTTCTTGATTTGCTCCAGCCTTAGAGGCCACCAATCTGTTGCTCCATGTACATGGTTGGCACTCAATAAATATTTGCCAATAAATGATTCAACAAATGAGCCAGAGCTTGTATCCCTGTGCCTTGCTTCTCCGTCCTGTTCGCGTGCAGGTGAGCCTGTGTGTGTGTCTCAATGTTTTTTGTAGCTGACAGCACGAGCACGATATCAAGCGTGGCTGTGACAGTCCATCCCTATGTGTGTCAGAGGTCTCTGGAGTGACACCAGCTTCCTTCAGGCCAGAAACCCTTTCTTTCCTTCCCTTCCCTTCTCCTCCTGCACCCTCAGTGTTCCTTCATTCCAGCTCAATTTATTCTTGCTGAATGAATTAATGAAGGTGGAAGGGGTAGCACAGGGGTGGGGCAAACAGGTAGCAAGTCTTAGACTCAAGTCAGGTTGGAGAGGAAGTTGGGGACCGGTCAATTCTGCCCCCAGTCACCACTATTTCTAGGACGGGAGAGGTGAGAGTGACGTACCTTTAGGAAGTTTTTCTTCTCCAGGGTGTCCATGATCACGGGGGGAATGGCTGAGGGGAGAGCAGGGCAAGGAGGGAGGGAGTTAGTAGAGTGAAAGTCAGGACCCTAAGGAAGGGGCGATCCCCCTTTGCAGCTCCTCCCACTCCCCCCAGAGTCCTCAAACCCCCCGAATAATGGCACCTCCTTCTTTTAGAGCCGCCCATGCCCCACCGAGCCACTCCTGCCTCACCCATGGCAGGAATCGCCATGCAGATTCTTGATGTCACCACCTGGAAGATTCCTTGCTTGGCTGCGGCCACCGAGTGGCCAAGTCTCTGACCCTGTTCATCGGTCACTGGGATGCCCACCTGCAGCTCTCTGAGAAGGGAAGGGGGTGGGGGTCAGATCACAGGCCCCAAATCTGACCTGCCATGCTCTCATGGGCAGCTAGTCCCCTCAGACAGCCTAGATTCAAAGGCTGGTTCTCCCACCCCAGGATCCCAGCACCAGACTGAGACTAGGCCCAGCAGCTCGTGTGGCTGGCTGGTGTGCCTACATGCGCCCTGGGCGTGCACACGCCAGAAGCTGGGGCCACTCACCTCTGCCTCATCACGGGGATGTTGATGCAGTTGGCAGCTGCCACCGCTGCAAAGGGCACGAGTCTGCCAACCAGCGGGGGCAAATGCTGGGGGAGGAAAGATGTCATTTAGTGCAGGGGTCCCCAACCCCAGGGCCGCAGACCGGTACCTGTTAGGAACTGGGCCGCACAGCAGAAGGTGAGTGGCAGGCGGGCAAGTGAGCGAGGCTTCATCTGCCGCTCCCCATCGCTCGCATTACCGCCTGACCCATCTCCCCACCCCCGTCCGTGGAAAAACTGTCTCCCATGAAACCAGTCCCTGGTGCCAAAAAGGCTGGGGACCGCTGATTTAGTGACCCTAAGGGCCACGGGGTGGTAAGGAACTCTGAGGAGAGATATGGGGAGCCTGTAGATTGGGGTGGAGGAGTGGTAGGGAAAAAGGAGGCAGATAAAGCGTGAACTGGGGGGGGGCAGTGGAATGGGGGGGATTTACCTTAGTGAGGGATTTGAGTCCCAGGGCCGTGGCCACAGCCCCGGTAGTAGCACTCACGTAAGCCGTTCCCAGCTGCCTGTGGACGGAAGAGCCAGGACACAAGGTGGGAGGTAAACAGTCCAGCCTGTGGCTCTTTGCTTCAGGGACGGGAGGCATGGGAGGGTGGCCTCAGTGCAGACAAACGTCTCCCCTGCTCCAGTGCAGACTTGTCTGGAAGCCCCAATCCCTACCCTTGAAGAGGACTGGGTCCCCCAAAGCATACACAAGAAGACCTCAGGCCCTCAGTCAGGCCAGGAAAGTGAGTGGGGGGCAGGCTGAGAGGAGGCCGCTGAGCCACTGGCTGCATAGGCCCAGGGGAACAGGAGAGAGCAATGGAGGGCCGGGAGAAGAGTCCGTGGGAACAAGCTCTCACCCCCCAGTGATGGGAGCGTCGCCGCTGCGGTTGGAGTAGTTAACGATGGCATTGAAGGACTGATTCCCCCACTGCCAGAACACCACGGTTGGGGTCTTCCTGAGGGAACAAAGACACTTACTTCCACAGTGTCCCACATCCTTGGACACTGATAATAAAACCCCAAAGGTTAACCCCAAACCCTCAGGAGGGGCCCTGTTGATGCCCCTAGAACATGCTCTGGTGACCCTTGCATGACCCTCCTTACACAAACACACCCATTGTCTCTGGGGTGGGAGGACCCCGGGGGCTGAGTTCTGAGGAATGGAAGGGATTCTAACGCAAGCTCCCACCTACCTACTATTTTCTGCCCAAACGGGCCCAGAGAGGAAGTGCCTAGTCATCAAGTTACACTGTACCTTGAACAGAGCACCCAGGGAGGAGACACACAGAATAGGACCTGCCTGTAGAAGGTGAGCATGCAGCCCGTGATGGTCATGTTCATGGGCACCTGGGCTGACATGCGGCCAATCAGGACCACCTTCTCCCCTGTGTCCGGATGGAAGGCAGAGTCGTACACATACTTGGCCCTCCAGAGCTGGTCCTCGGTGAGCCCTGGCGTCACAACGCCAGCCCTGCAGAGGTTGGCAAGGAGGAGACAGGCAATTCTAAGGGGTAGATCTGCCCTCCCAAGCCCTGCCCACCCAGCTCAGGGGAAGTCTGGGCAGAGGACCAGGCACTTTGGCTCCCAATCTCAAAACAAAGGAACTACTTGTCTCTGGGGAAGAATCATGTCTTGCCAGAAGGAGGGCTCCTATTTCTACATCCCTTCTAGCCACACAAAGAGGGGTGCCCTTCTGTTTCTGCCCAAATGCTAGGCCAATGCTGGGTAATGGTGGTTTCCAATGAGTCAAAAATGGCTGGGGTGTTGCATGAGTTTTTCCTCCTGGAGACAAGGAGGCTGCCCTCCTACTTCCTTGGGACTCAGCTGTACAGGTCCTTGTACAGGGTTTGTGAAACACAGAGCAGCCCCCTACCCACAAATATCGACACCACCTCCTCAACCCAAACACCCTGAAATCCTTTAAGTTAAAGTTCTGTGCCCTAGTTGTCTGTGATTCCAACCGAGAGGGCAAGGGAGTGAGGGGGTGGAGGATTGGAACAGGGTCACGCTCAAGTTAGGGGAGACAGGTGCAAAAGGTACTGTATTAAGAGCAGGGAATGAGCCCCTGGGTTAAATGGGGTCGGGGGTCACCTGTAGTTCTGTACGATGTTCCGGGAAGCTTCTAGCTGTGTCCCGGACAACAGCAGATTTCGGGGGTCAGTCACAGTGAAGAAGTGCCGGGCTCTGCCCAGGAAAGTGCTCTGGTCCCAGCGAGGTTCCTGGATATTGATATCTAAGGGCAACTCACCCATTTTCTGCAGGGCAGGGACCAAAGTCAGAGGACTCCAAGGAGGGGTCCAAGGGGTCCACATGGGGGAGATTTTGGTGGTGCTTCCCTGGTCCCTGCCAATCCTTCTAGAGCTCAAGATGACTCTAGATAGGTAAGCAAGGATGTGGGGAGGAGCTGTTTTCTAGGCAATGTTCCAGCCCCCCTGGGCCACTAGAGAACATGGCCAGGAAAACAGATGTCCTTGCACTCTGGCCTGGTACAGATTTTCATGAGTGAGGATTTACATGTGTGAGGTTGACGCATGAGCAGCAACTAATCCCATGCAGCTACTCTTGTGCTCTGTATGCACAGAAATGCAGATTATATGCATTACACATCCACGTTCATGTCAGCTTTAGGCCCCAGTTGCCTTGAGACCTACATACAAACCCCCAAGGCTGTTTGGGAAGATGGCGTAAGCCATCTCACTCCCCAGGCCCTGACTGGAGGACAGCAAGGGTTCATTGGCAACTCCAGGGCTTACCTATTCCAGATCTCAAACAGGGGACTCTGATGCCAGCCAGCCAGGTGTGCTCGTGGGCATGCACAGTCCCCTCTCCAGACCCATCTTCCTCAGCCCACACTGAATGGCCCAAGGCTCTCCTTGTTCCCTAGCTGGGCAGGGCTGGCAGGAACACACATCTACCTCTCCCTGAGCTACCTACCTCTAAAGGAGCAGGATACAGTGAGTGAACCCTCCACTCAGCACAGAGAAGAAAGCCTGAAGCATTCATCTGGCCATGTTGGGCAATATCCTACAGAATGACTAATTCTCTCCAACCACACTTCCTCCCTCACAGGCAGACACACCCTCCCCTCTCACACACTCACATTCACATACCCACACACAAAGACACCAGCATACACACCCTACACAGACCTGCAAACAGGGTGGACACGCCCTGCATACAAAGACCGTTACTTACAAACACACAGCTCATATCCATCAGTTGCAGACACTTGAATGTGTGACCATACAGAGTCTCACCCCGACATTCCCTCCCCAACCCACCTCCCCTCGTGCCTTAGAGCCGAAGATGCTGAATCTCACAGGACGGAGGCAACTTTCCTCTCTGACTCCCAGCCCTCAAGCCCCTGTCCCCTGACCCCAGAACCCCGCCCGGCACAATGAGCACTCACGATTTCCTAGGCTCCTGGGCTCCCGTCCTCTGCAGCTCTCAGTCCCGCCTTCCTCTCCGCGCGTCGCCCCCGACCTCACACCCATCACGGGTAACGTCACGCGTGACGCTCGCCAGCCTGAGGGGCGGGGACTCCCTTGGCGCATCCGCCCGGCGAGGCCAGGGATTGGCAGAGCCTGGGGGCGATGGGTGTCATTTAAGGGCGACGCCCCCAGCCCGGGCCACTGAGACCCGGCCCTACGCTGTCTCCCAGAGCCAATCCGACCTCAGGGATCAGTTCTGGCCACGTCCCCAACCCGAGAGAGGAGGGGAGGAGCTGCCCCATTTGCTTGCAGTCCCCTGGCTGGCCTCGGGAGGCACCCGGCCTCTGCAACCGGGGGTCTAGGTGCCCGGGGCGAAGGCGGGCGGCGTGGAGGGGCATCCTCTGACGGTACGCCCAGAGAGACTCGGGTTACCGCCCGGCTTGTTTACTTAATGGCTGCCTTGGCAGTGGCCTCTGCCTACTTGGACCCCTGGTCTCCTACCCCGGTTCCCTCAAGGTCCTCTCGCAGCACCTTGGCATTCTCACCCCTTCACAGTCCGGTTCTGCTCGTGCCTGTGCCTCTTCGGTGTCCTCAGCCCTTTCCTCCTCCCTAGTCCCCTCTATACTCCCCTCTATAACCTCTAGCTCCACTGGGTCCCCAGTTTCCTTATGCCCCAATCCCTACCCCTGTATCACAGACCCTGGCCGCAGTCCCTGCCCCGGATGTGAAGGGGCAGAAAGCTCAAGGTACCTCTGTCTGCATCAAGAAAGTGGATCAGAAAGAGTCTTCCTCCTTCTAGTGTCCTGGAACCAGCTTCCCTGCCTTGCGTCCTTTCCAGAACTGGGTGGCCAGAGAGACACTTTCTGACATAGGAGGATGCATATGAAGGCAGCGCTCAAACACACACACACACACACACACACACTCCCAACTCACCCAGTCACCATACAGAGCATGCGTGCTGCACACCCAGGTGCCAGCCCGCGCTCCTGCCCACCGCAGGCTCACGCCCCGCTCTGCCCAGGTGGCATTCCCTCGCTGAGGCCTCAAGGGTGACCGCGGAGGGGTGGCAATTCCATGAGCCCTGGTAGCTGGTTTGGCCTGGAGAAGACGTGGTTCTGGGCTCCCCTGCGCTGAACCGGTAGCGGGAGCCGGGCGAGCTGAGACCAAAGGCCTAAGTTCGCGGTGCGGGGTGGGGCACCAGAACTCGAACTGGAGCGAGTAGAACCCAGAGGCCCCAGCCCAGATTACAAACGGCCGACCGGGGCACCCAAAGGAGGTGGCTGGAGGGAGTGATTGGCGGCCCTCCCAGCCAATGGGAGCCCGGGGCTGCGCTGGGCGGCCCTATTCCTTCAGCCTCGGCGAGGCTTGGGCGGGGATCCTGCTGCTGCTGCTGCTGCTGTCGCCCGCGCCCGCGGGCGGGCGAGGCTGGCGGCTGCAGCACGCGCGAGCAGGTGAGGGGGGCCGGGAGGACCGAGCCGGGGGTAGGGTGCTGCGTTCTGGGTCCAGGAGCTGCTCTGAGGGATTTGGCCCAGGTTTTGCGCGGGATGTTGGGGGGCTCTCGCCAGCAGGTCCTTCCCCCAAGGCTGGGAGAGGTTCACGCCCCTCTTTGGACGGGAGGGAAGGGGGGACAGAGGGGACCGCAGCCTGGGGCCTGGGGAATCTCTGGGGCCCTTGGCTGCAGCTGTCCCAGGTTCTGAAGCCCCTCGAGGCGCAAGTCCCTGGGGCTGGCCCCCTACCCACATACACAGGAGGGGTGGTTCAGCGAACTGTACTGGCCCAAATTTCTCTCACACTGCTTGCAGTCCTAGGGCCAGCAATAATCCCATCTCCACTCTCTCAACCTCTACTGAGGACTGGGGACCTACCGGAGTAGATGACTCAGCTGAGAGCAGGAACTAGGGGTGAAAGAGAGGTTCTCACCCACCTTGTTGTATAAATGGCTCCAGAAGTCCACAATGGTGGCTGAACTGGGCAGTTCTCTGGCCAGGGAGTGGGAGAGGTGAGAGGCCTAAGGCATGGGAGGCAGGATGCTCCAAGCAGGGGGTGGGGTGGAAGTTCTGGGGGGCAGCGGAGGCAGCATTCACACCGCTTCCCCAATCTCTGCTCTCCCTGTGCAGGCCTGGAGCACACACTCCTGAGAGGCAGCAGAGATCAGGGACTCCAGGTCCCTGAGATCCCAGTCAGCACAGAAGGCTCATGGAGCCTGGGGCACGTGGGGCCCTCCTCTCAAGGGCTAGCAGGTTCCCTCTGGACCTGTAGGGCACCACCCCCGTCTAGCCACCATGGCGCATGGCTTCCCAGTGGGCTTCGACCCAGTGGGCCTCAGAGACCTAAGTTCTGGCTCTGTGAGCTCCCTCTCCTCCCGAGGCCACCTGGGCAGCGAGTCAGGCTCTGCAACCCGATACCTGCTGAGAAAGCAACGGCGGCTGCTGAATGGGCCCCTCCGCGGAATCCGAGCCTCATCGCCCATGGGCCGTGTCATCCTCATCAACTCCCCCATCGAAGGTGGGAGCAGGGCCCAGCCACCAGGCCAGGAACCGCGGGTGGGGGAGAGGGGAGAGCAGGCACTAGGTAGGAGAGGGCAGGGCCAGTGTGGGTGGGGGAACTCAAGAAGTGGGAATCATAGGGATGCAGGGAGAGAGAGCCTCTGGTAACCCATAGACTCTTCCTCATCTACCCTTTTCTCACCTTTAAGCCGATCCTTTAGTGTTCCAGGATTGTGGAGAGGTCAGAGGTGGGAGGTCTGGCATGAAGGTAGAGAAGGGGGGTGTGGTATGCCAGCCCCCAAGGAAGCAAGGCAGAGTATTAAATTGGCCCCTCACTCCTATGGACTCTTCCTTTCTCCAGACCCATTCATGTATGACTTTGGGGGGTGGGCAGGATGGAGAGGGACATTCTTCATCAACCAGTTCATTGTGAGCCCAGCTCTGTGCTGGGCTGTGAGGAGTCAATGTACAGCTGGACAGACAGAATTAAAGGCTTCAAGTGCAGAGGACGGAGACAGAGGTAAAGTGGAAGATGTTGCAAAGAGTGGGGAGAAGAGGGTTGAGGATAGGGAGGGAGCCCCAGGTCTGGGCCCTGAGGGAGGGGGACACCTAATCTTATGTAGTTGCTTAACGTTTCATTGCACACCTATTGTATACCAGCTCTTGTTAGGTCCTGTGGGAACCTACAGAGAAATAAGGCTTAATCTTCACCTTCCAGAAATTTCCAGTGTAGCAGGGCTTAGAGACAGAGCAATGACAGCAGCTGGTGGTGGGGTGGAGATATCACAGACAAGGTTGAAACGGAAAGCATGGAGTATGATGGGTGGGCACTTAGGAGACGGCCTGGCTGCAGTGACAGATGTGAGGCGACAAAGAGCCGGTGACCAAGGCAGGACCTTGAATACCAGCAGGGGAGTGGGGCCCCCTGGGCCTGGGCTTTCCCTGGGTGGGACCAGATAAGTATCTCCAGCTCCGCTCTTCTCTCTCAGCCAGCAGGGCTCCCCTGGCTGGATCCCAGACTGGACTTTTCAGCCTGCTCCTTCCCGCTGACTCAGCTGGGTCCCTCTGTCCCCTACCCAGGGCACCAGGGCAGGGGAGGAGCATGTTGCTCAGGGAGCAGGCTTTCCTGCACCAGTGGCCCATCACGCTCACCCCCATCGTCCACCAAGCCCGGCCTCAACTTCAGGTGAGCAGCAGGGCAGCATGTCATTCTGGACATGGAGCAGAAGTCGCCAGATAAGCTAGGAAACACAGAGGGGGAGAGAGGAGGTACTGTAGCACGGCCCTTGCAAGTCCCATCGTATTGGAAGAACTACGTTATACCTCCCCCTCACATGCCCACATACTCCATGCCCAACTGTGATGCGAGGCCTATGCACACTGTCCCTCTTCCAGAAGTTCCATGAGGGCTCTCTCCCTCTGCCTCACCCCAGTGCCCTAGTGCAGCCAGGAGAGCTGCATCCCCTAGCAATGGAAGGACTGGGGCATTGCTCCAGCCAGCTGGCTTGTCTGGGTTGGGAGCCTGTGAGCTCAGAATCATCCCCTCTGCCTGAGCACAAACATCTCCCAACTCACCACAGCCTGGAGCCCCTCCCCCACGTTATTATCAATATTTAGAACTTTCCAGAGGCCTAAAGTTAACTGATAAGGGAGACACAGTGGGAAGGGGAACACTACCACCCATATCACCCAGGAGTTCCCACCAACTCCTCAAACTCAGTGGGTTCCAGAGAAATGGTATTATCTTTAATCCCAACCAGCCCTTTCTCCTCACTCTCCTAATTCATTCATTTATTCATTATTCCACTTATTATTTCACTGATTAAAAGAAGACTTAGCAAATATCAAGCACAGTGCACAAAACTGGGGATACATTGGTGGAAAGAATTACTAAGTCCCTATCATGACTGAGCTTACAGTCCAGTGAAAAGAGAGCAAGGATAAATAATATACAAATAAGCAAATGATGAGAAAGGATGGTAAGAATCTTGAAGGTACTAATTTGGATGATATGATAGAGCAGTGTTTCTCAAACTTTAGAATACATCCGAATTGCCTGGGGGCCTTGTTAGATAGGTTACTGGGCCCTACACCCAGAGAATCTGATTCAGTGGGTCTGTGGTAAAACCCCCAAGTTCACATTTTTAATAACTTTCCAGGTGCTGCTATGCTGCTGGTCTGGAGAGCTCGCTTTGAGAACCATTCGAACAGAGACTACCTGGGAGGAGGGGGAAGGGACTTTCTTAGGTAGGGTTGTCCAGGAAGGCTTCTCTGAGAAAGTGGTGTTTGAGCCAGGAGGAAGTGCAAATAGGAGGTGGCTTTATGAAGGTCTGGGCAAGGGCATCGCAGGCAGAGGGAACA